GCTCCGGACGCACAGGCTCAGCGGCCATGGCTCATGGGCCCAGCCGCTCCGCGGCATGTGGGATCTTCCCGGACCGGGCCACGAACCCGTATCCCCTGCATCGGCAGGCGGACTCTCAACCACTGCGCCACCAGGGAAGCCCTATACATCCATTTTTAATCACCACATAATACTTCGTTAAGTAGATATATTATAGTTTACTTGACTCTTCCCATGTGAGTCTACCTTTGGTTATTTCTGGCTTTTCACTATTAAAAATGCAACAATAAGCCTTACTATACACAAACCTTTCTTTCATGTTTAGTTTTAGCCATGGCAATCAGGAAAGAAAAAGAAATAAAAGGAATCCAAATTAGAAAAGGAGAAGTAAAACTGTCACTGTTTGCAGAAGACATGAATACTATACATAGAAAGTCATAAAGATGCTACCGGTAACTACTAGAGCTCATCAATGAATTCGGTAAAATTTCAGGATACAAAATTGATACACAGAAATCTAGCATTTCTATACACTAGAAATGTGTACAGTGATCTATACACTAGATCTTTTTTCTGAAAGATCAGAAAAAGAAATTCAGGAAACAATTTCACTTACCAGCACATCAAAAAAGGATAAAATACCTAGGAATAAACCTACCTAAAGAGACAAAAGACCTGTACTCTGAAAACTATAAGACACTGATGAAAAACTGAAGATGACACAAACAGATGGAAAGATATACCACATTCTTGGATTGGAAGAATCAATATTGTCAAAATGACTACACTACTCAAGGCAATCTACAGATTCAGTGCAATCCCTATCAAATTACCAATGGCACAGAACTAGAACAAAAAATTTTTAAAATTTGTATGGAAACACAAAAGACCCCACCTAAATAGCCAAAACAATCCTGAGAAAGAAAAATGGAGCTGGAAGAATTACACTCCCCGACTTCAAACTATAGTACAAAGCTACAGTTATCAAAACACATTTTTGTTCTGGCATAAAAATAGAAACATAGTTCAATGGAACAGGACAGAAAGC